GTTCGTTAGTAGAGGCGTTCGTATCCCAAGGTACCACTGTACTCAACTTTGCAATGCCTGGGTCAGTCATTACATGCATAGATAAACTCATAGCAATTATAGTCTTAGGGGAAAATCTAATAAATAGGCTTTCCAGATTAAGGACATGTCTCCTTAATCTAGAGATAGGTAGCTCTTGTGTCTTTTCTTTGTTGCTGTGATTGTTGACAACTGGTTGCATAAATCCCTGCCATTTTGAGGATAACAGCTGAGAACTACTGGGTAAACTCTAAAATATCACAGGTGACAAATAATGATCACTCCCTAATTTTTCCTCCCAACAAAGTCTTCCCCACATAAATAATTTGTGCTCACATACACTTAATCTTGGGATGGTGGGACCTATTTGCAGGAGGGAAAACAACCCCCCCCTCCAAGCTCTGTTTGATCAGCAACTTGTTCAGGTGGTAGAAGTGGGCCCCCCAAGATGAAAGGTTAACACATCAAGTGACAGCTCCCTTCTGCTTTGTTGATACTATTTGCCAAATATCCATTAATTCTTTATGGCAGCATACATTCACAGGATGTTGGAGGTGAGTTCATCTGTTCTGTTTCACTCCCTGGAACTCAAATATTATGGCAGCACAATTATTGCAACAGGATTCCCCCCACCCAAAAAAAACCCTTATTGATTCCTCCATTTGATATTGGACTTGTCTGTCTACACAATGCTTCTGGTTGCCATGTATTATCTTGCCCATTTTATGTCCTGTAAACTGAAGCATCTGTAGATTGGAACTGGATTCTTTCTAAATGCCATTCAAGACATGGTACATGGCTGAAATGGTATAAATCTTTATCATTGCATTCCATATCATCCATCCCCAATCTATAATTTCCAATGTGTTGGATTTCAATTCCTGTAACTCCCAGTCATCATGGCTGCAGATCAGGTTACTTAATAATTCTGGGAGTTGAAGTCCACAGATTACGGGATACAACCTGATTGGAAAAAGGTGATTAAGATATCCATAAATGCCTGTTCTGTCTCTCACTAAGAGAGTCATGCCAGTTCGGACATTGCCCGGATCAACAAGGTCTGTACCAGATGTTGGGGAACCAGGAAAATCTGACGATAAGTGGGCTACTGAACAAACCATACATGGACAAGATAAGAGAACCTGGAATTGATGGAATGTTACTACAACAGTAGAACTAATGAGAGGGGATATATGAAATGTATGAAGGAACTATGGATGGACAGAAGACCTACAGTACATCCATACTAACCGAGAAACAGTTCATACCCAACGCTTCAACATAGTGAAGAGGAACTTGCTCTCACAAATTGAGATAGACCAACTACACATTACATCCCAGACTCAAGAAGACCTGGAAGAACAACTGGATGTGCAGCCAACACCTGAAGCTGGAACATCACTGCCCCCCCCTCCATTACAGAGCACAACAGCTGATATGAGGCATAAGATAATGGATAAACTAACCACAGTCAACCCTTGAGACTGATTACCAAGGCTCAGTGGAGAAGTACCATCGGATAGTATTCTAGAAGATGCCAATAGAGCCCTCTAGACAATCCCTACTACCACTCAAACTAATGAACTGGTATATACTACAGCTGCTGCAGTCCTGGAGATGCTTGGGTACATGATCAAGAACAGCAGTACATACCATCCCCCCCACCCGAAAATGAGGTTGGAGGCTAAGATCAAGGCAACTCAGAGAGAAATTAGTCAACTGGTGGAACTACAGAAGGGTGTGGAGATTAAGGATAAGACTTGGCTACTGAAAAAATACAAGGGCCTGACTCCATCTGAAGCCCTAGAGACTGCTATACAAAGGCTCACAGCACTAACAGAAACTAACAGCAGTGCATGAATGCCTAGCAACACAGATGAACCAGCTGCTAGCAACAGACTCCCACCCAGACTGGCTAACACAAGGAGGGACAGTGCTGATCATGAAAGACCCCCACAAGGGAACAGCACCATCCAACTACTGACCAATAACCTGCCTCCCCACAATATAGAAAGCCCTATCAGGCATCATAGCCACCAAGCTACAAGACCATATGGACAGGTACATGAGCACAGCTCAGAAGGGCACCGGGAACAACACCAGAGGCTCAAAACACCAGTTGCTCATAGATAGAGCAGTCGCCCAAGACTCAAGGTCTAGATAGACCAATTCGAGCACAGCCTG